TTAATCTGGCTCTTTCTAATGCTCAGCTCTCTAGAGTTGACCCAACTCTGCCAATGCTTTTAATTATTTTCCCAACTCAGTCTATGCCCACAGGGGTCCTGTGGCAGTCTCAGGGTCCTTTACAATGGTTACATATGCCACATACTCCACATAAAACTATTACTCCCTTTCAGGATGCTGTGGCAGAACTGATCACACATGGAAGAACACGTGCTATCCAGCTTTTTGGTCATGAAGTGCAAACTATCATTGTTCTTTTCTTCAGTTCAGTAAAAATGGTTATGGCAATTTTCACCCTCTTGGCAACCTGCACTGGCTAATTTCCCTGGTGTTATTGATTATAATTATTCTTCAGATAAAGTAGTTCAATTTGCTTCCCTCACACCTTTTGTCTTCCCTTCAAAATAAGCTCAGTCCCCATAGCAGGAGGCATCTCCATCTTCACGGATGGCTTATCTTCAGGTAGGGGAGGTTATGTAACAGTCTCCTCTTCCAGAATACAAGATACGGGTTTCTCTTTTGCACAAAAAATTACAAGCAGTCATACGGGCCTTGCAGAATCATTCCTCCACCCTAATTAACCTCTTTTTCTGACAGTGCTTATGTCTGCGGTGTGATGCGCCACATTGAAACCTCCACCATATACACTGGTCAGGAAGATCTTTTTCATTTACTTCACACTCTCCAATTTGTCATATGGTCACGTCACGTTCCCTGTTTTATTGGTCATATACGTTCTCATTCCCAATTGCCAGGACCTCTCACACAGGGGAACGCTGCTACTGACAGATTGCTGGGTGCCGTCACTGTCACTACCTCAGAGGCCATTCAGCAGGCTTCTGCTTCTCATGCCACCTTTCATCAAAATGCTTCTGCCTTAAGCAAACAGTTCCATCTGACCCAGGAACAGGCCCGAGAAATTGTTAAACAATGCTCTTCATGTATAATACACCTTCCCCCACCTTCCATAGGAGTCAGTACCTGAGGGTTACAGCCCAGTCACCTTTGGCAGATGGATGTCACTCAGAGTCCCAAATCTGGTTCTTTACGCTGGGTCCACGTTTCAGTAGACACCTCCTCAGGGTTTATTTTTGCTTCTGCTCGCACTGGTGAAGCAACTGAACATGTCATTGCTCACTGCTTGGATGCCTTTAGTGCCCTTGGCTGCCCACGGACACTTAAGACTGACAAGGGCCCAGCATTTACAAGTGCTGCTTTCCAAACGTTTTGTAAAACTGTTCGTATTTCCCTTATCACAGGAATCCCTTATAACCCTCAAGGTCGAGGAATTGTTGAATGTGCTCACCGTGTGATCAAAACTCAATCACAAAAACAAAAGGAGGAACCTTTCCCTACAAAATTCACACCTCACAATAGACTTCACTTGGCTATATATACTATTAACTTTCTAAATTCTAGAAAAGATGGAAGTACAGCAGCAGAGAGACAATTCCATCAGTAAAAAGAAAAAAGGTTAGGAAGGGTCTTTTGGAGAGATCTCCACACTGGACAATGGAAGGGACCCAGTCCACTACTTACCTGGAGTAGAGGGTATGCTTGTATTTTTCCAGAGGATGCTGAGCAAACTATTTGGGTACCAGAGCGTGCTGTCCGCCTATACCATAAACCCAGATCTGGAAAAGAAGTTGTTCTACCTTTCAGGATGCTGATGTACAGTCCTGTGACAGTGATGCCTCAGAGACTGTTTTACAGCTGATAGACAACAATGAGGCTAGATTGGACCCAGGGCCTATTGAAGAAACTGACATAAATGGAAATCTAAGATCTAAATTGGTAATAAAGTATATAGGGATATAGAGCTGAAAGTTACCAGTATTCTTAAGAGGCTAAAATACAAAATATACATATTTACTATAGAGAAAAGATTCTATTCCTTGCAAAGATTTTCTAAGAGATCTCTGCTAATTGACAACAAAATCTGACAAGATCTCTGCTAATTGACAACAAAATCTATTTAAATTATAAATTTCTAAAATTGTAATAGAGTTAATTATAATTCAATTTGGTCAAAAATATATTTGAGTGCACTCTGATTTTCTAAAGACATTTGTTTGTTCTGTGTACTGGTTTGCGTGTTTGTCTGTCATTCTGTAAACAGCTGTTTGCCTTTATTTTGAGCTCAATAATTTTCTTTTATCATTTGTTCATAATACAATTGGATTATAGATTTAAAAGCATGCTTTCACCTGAGTTACCAGTTGGTTTAAATGATATCAAAATTAAGATATTTAACCACAGTCCTTAGGATGAGGAGAAATTATTTGGTAGGACTCCAATTGGTGAATGGAGGAGTGGCCAACCTTTATTCATTAATAAGGAGCCCCCAGGGATCTCCATAGTCTCTTGGGAGACACCCAAACAATTCGGTCATTTTGTCAAAAGAAAGCTTTTCAGTAAAAATTACTGTAAGGTTTTCTCATAAAAGATGCTCTTGGTGTATTTAATGTATTCATGATTCTGGATCTATAGGTCTTCCAAAATGTAAAACGAGACTGTTTATTGTGCTAAGACTTTAATTCAGATTCAGACCTCTGCCTTTAACAAAAACTTGTGATGTATATCCTATTAAAAGACAACAAATTAGATAAAAGCTTCTTGTGTGTTAGATAGAGATAATTGGTTAAAAGGGTCATGTTATGTATGGTTTCGATTTCTAAATCTCTGTAAAAATATGTAATGGTTGTTTGTTAACATTCTATTAAGTGGGGGCTGGGGATTTAGCTCAGCAGTTCAGCGCCCGTCTGGCAATTGCAAGGTCATGAGTTCAACTCCCGGTACCGGAAAACAAACAAACCAACACAAAAAGACATTCTATTAAGGGCCGGGTGTGGTGGCACAAGCCTATAATCCCAGCACTCGGGAGGCTGAGGCAGGAGGATCACTGAGTTTGAGACCAGCCTGGGCTACAAAGTGAGCTCAAGGCCAGCCTGAACTGCATGAGACCCTGTCTCAAAAAGACAAAAAACCAAAAAAACCCATTCTATTAGGATCTAAGTATTAGGATATCCAGGTTGTTAAAAAATAATGGTTCTATTTGTATGTTCTAAGGTGTTTGCTATTCAGATCAGATTGTAATATGAAGCTTACTGCCTCCCTTACAATATTTTATCATTATTCTTCTCTGCTGGATGTTTAACAACTGAGGTTTGGAGACCAAAAATTAGATAAATTGGGCTAAGAGGACAGCCAATATTTTGGCCATACCTTCTGAGGTCAGTGAAGACTCAGGATATAAGAGAACTGCTGTGACATCCTATAACTAGGTTGAGTCCCTGATTTTCTGATCAAGGAGATTATGGGACCACAGAGGAAAGTGATTCTACGATATATAGTGTGCCTAAGGAGAGTCACCAGGAGAGTAAAAAAAAAAAATCTCTCAGGCTTTCACAGAAAGCAACTTGGTCAAGCAATGGCCATGACTCATCCAGATGGTTGACACTGACAGAAGATCAAGAGATGCTGTACTTGGTCCCATGGTGATTCCTGAGGAGACTTAACTGACCCTGATAGATAGCAAAAGGTTAAATTTTTATTTACACAGATCTCACTTAACCTGGTCTTAAACATCCAACAGAAAAGTGTAACCACCAGATGGGAAGAAGCAATGCCACAGTAATAGGTTGTAGGTGAGCCGTAAAAGGTTCAAGTCACCAAAAACTTCTGACAGTTGCCAGCTAGACTGGTAAGTGACCACTGTTACGGACTCTGGATTATATTCTTGAAGCATAGCTTTTCCAGCTTCAACTGAACACCCATCGCTGCTGCAACTAAACAGAAAAGGGAGATGTTGGGAGCCGCTGAAAGGAAAATAATTACACTTGCAGGATGAAGCCAGCCTGACAACAGGGCAGCTCCTCAGAGTAAACAAGCCCCTTGGAGTAAACAAGCCTTTGTAACTTGTTAACTGGTTGCTGGGCAGCAAGACAAAAATTAACCAACCTCAACAGGGTATAAATAAACGCTCTACTGTTTTGGGGCAGTCTTCCTGCTCATCAGACAAGAGGTAACTCCACCTGACCCCAGCTATCCTCTCTTTTCTTTATGTTCTAAATCCTCCTGTTCATCCACAGGTACCTCGTTCTCGGGACCTGTTCACCCTAAACAGAAATGGATTATTAATCCGACACTCAGGAGGCTGAGACAGGAGGACTGCTATGAATTTGAGGCCAGCTTGGGTTACACAGTGTGTTCAAGGCCACCCTGAACTACATCATGCAAGTCTGTCTCAAAAAACAAAAACAAACAAAAGTTAATTCCTTTTGGGACATAGCTCAACAGTGGAGTGCTTGCCTCAGCACTGCAAAAAAGAAAGTAAATTCCATTTTCTGAAACTAGGTTTTCTCATTTGTAAAATGGGAGTAATTATACTATGTTCCCAGTCCTACTTAATGGATTCAATTCACCATCCAACAATGATTCACCAAGTATCCTCTGTGCTAGGCATTGTTCCATTGTGTTGGAGGCATGACAGCAAAATAGAAGAAACGGTCTGCCTTTCTCACACTCTATTCAGGGAGACAGATGACAAACCAGACCAATGATAAAAATCCCGAATATGTCAGATGGTGGTAAGAGCTGAGGGCAAAAGTCTAAAATACACCAAAAAATAGGAAAAAGGATGAGGTTAAAATTTTATGCTGAGGGGGCTGGGGAATTGGCTCAGAGGCATAACACCTGCCTGGCAAGCGTGAGGTCCTGAGTTCGATTCCCAGTATCCTCCCCACCCCCTAAATTTTTATACTGAGGCTGGTGAAGGTGTCACTGAGGTGACATTTTAAGTAAAGACTGAAAAGAAGGGGTGAGCCATGTGGGCACATGCTGAAGAGAACTACTCAGGTCGAGTATATATATATGGTATACACAGGGGCCCTGAGGTGGAGCTCACCTAGGATCTCTAAGGAGCAAGGTGGACGGTGTGTGCTGAGGGGAGGCAGAGGTGTCTGAAGACAAAAGGAATGGCATGAGCTGATGCGCACAGAGGTCCTCTGTTGTGGCTTCTCCCAATCTGCCCAGCTTCACTGCTCACCACGGCTCAGCTTGTGGCCTGTACCCCCTCTTCCCGCCACCTGCTATGCCCTTCTGACCTCTTCCCCTGGGTTGTCTTCTGCTCATTTTTTAGGTCTCACTTCATATCCCTTCCTCCAAGATGCTCTTTTCGATACTCCAAGGTGGAGTCAGGCATCTTTTCTCAGTGGTCCCAGTCCTCTAGGCTGGCTCTGCCCTTCCCTAACCACATCACTCTAGGCTGTCACAGGCTAGTGATGGGTCCATCTCTCACCACACGACTGGGAAAGAGATTTCATGAAGGCAGGCCCTATACTGGTTATCACACAGGGCAACGCACACCAAAGTATGTGCTGAATAAACAAATGAGTGGGTGTGGTGTGGGGTCCCAGTTAAGAGTGGACTCACATGGATGCGGCAGCCGTCATCTATGGGGTAGGAGCCCAGCAGCGCATCCTCCTGTTCCAACTTGCCGTAGAACTTGTCCTCAGCACCATACAGTTCCAGTTCCATGCAGGAAGCAGGGCTTCCCACAAGCAACTCCAGTTTACACTGCGGAAAAGCGGAAGGATGAGGAGAAAGCCAGTCAGGGACCCATCCTCCGCCCTGCAGCCCCACGCCTTGTGTCAACCAAGTTTCCCCAAAAGACCCATCCCTCAGGACCCACGGGGCCCTGCTCCTTCTGTTCTGCCCCTACCCTAAGGAGCATAGGATTTTCACCTGGTCCTGCACTTACTCTCTCGACTCTCCGGTTCCCTCTAGCCCCGACTCACTAGGCTCCGTCCACAGTCCCAGCAACCTCGGATAATTTTGACCCCGCCATCCGGCTCTCAGGACCCACCGCACCCCGGAAGCCCCCCCCCACGTCTTTGTCCCGCCCCTCCGGACGCCGCGCCCACGACCACACCTTGAACTCAGCAATCGTCAGGCTGCGACTGTACCGCTTTTCAGAGCGGTAAGTATTGAGGGAGCTGCTGATGAAAAGGGTCACTGTGGGGGCCGTCATCCCTGTCACCTCCATCTCGCCGCGCCCTACTGCGGCCCGCAGCTCAGTTCAGCCGCTTCACACTCGCTCAGCAGTCGCCGCCGCTGCTTCTGGGATATCAGCCCCGCCCCCGTGCTCCAGGGCTTGTCCAATCTGTGCGCTCCCGCTAGAAGGATCTACCAATCGCTGTCGTCCTTTCTCCTCGGCCAGGAAGCGACTTCCTCAGAATTCTTAGGTAAATCCAGCCAATCCCAAGAGGTCTTTCGTGGTTTACTGGTCTTTCAATAGGCACAGGAAAAAGCGAGGGTGGGCACGACAAGACTGAAGCCGGTAGGAAGGACTGGCAGGAATTACTATCTTGGCCCCGCGAAGGGTAAACTCGGCGCATGTGCAATAGTCAGAGGCCGTTTAAATAGCTTCTTTTTAACATCATCCTGCAGACTGGAGAGGCGAGTTCCAGTAATTGGAAGCAAGTAACGGAGGCTATTAAAAGACCAAGCCTCAGCGCGGAGGAACCCGACCCACAAAGCCGCTAGGAGCCAATACCTGTACGCAGTCCTGCCCCATTTTGGCGCAGCGACTACTCTTGACTCTTCCCGCGACCTGTAGCCCGGCGGAGCAAGCGCAGAGAGCTTTGTGGCCATCGCGTAGCTATGGAACCCGACGGGACCTACGAGCCGGGCTTCGTGGGTATTCGATTCTGCCAGGAATGGTAAGGCCAGGGAAACAGGAGTGGAAAGGAAGTAAAGGATGACTCCAGGGCTGACTTCTGACCTCTCCCTTCCCACAGTAACAACATGCTGTACCCCAAAGAGGACAAAGAGAACCGTATTCTGCTGTACGCGGTGAGCGCGAGCTCGTGGGGCGCCCCCGTGGTCTCCAACCTGCCCACCCCTTCCCTACGTGGCCGCCCTTCCCCATGTGACCCAAACTCCCTGTTCACTCCCGACGTGCCCTGGTTTCCCCTCCTGGCTGTTCCCCGAGTGAGCCCGCTTTGTTGTCTATCTGCAAAGGGACTCATCCCGAATCATCAGCCTATTTCCCCTCCAGTCCCGCTGGGGATCTCTTTCGTTTGTGTTTTGTTTTCTGAGACAGTTCAGCCTGGGCTTGAGCCCATGTAGCCCAGGCTGGCCTTGAATTCTCAGCGATCCTGCCTCAAACTCCCAAGTGCGGGGTGTACAGGCGTGCACCACCACACCCGGCTCTTAACGACCCCCTTTGTGCCACCCTCGCAGTGCCGGAATTGTGATTACCAGCAGGAAGCCGACAACAGCTGCATCTATGTCAACAAAATCACGCACGAAGTGGAGTGAGTGATGGGACCAGGGCTTTGAGGAGAGGGTGTTGTGGGGCTCGGAAAGCGTAATTATTCCCCTCTCCATCCCTGCAGCGAACTAACCCAGATAATCGCTGACGTGTCCCAGGACCCCACATTGCCGCGGACCGAGGACCACCCGTGCCAGAAGTGAGCGGACAGCTGTTTTGGGGAGGGGGTATGGTTCATCTTCACAGGCAAAGGGAGGAGGGAAGGATGTGCGAAGCCTTTAGTGACTAAGCCATTCCTTTCAGGTGTGGCCACAAGGAGGCGGTGTTCTTCCAGTCGCACAGTGCCCGTGCCGAGGTGGGTGGCAGGATAGCTTCTTAGGTGGAGTTTGCCCTTCCCAGGGAGGTAGGGATAATATTGGGATGAATTTGCCTTTCCCAAGCCCTGAGTTAAACCCTTGCCTACTGAGAAAGATCCCTTGATTCTTATTTAGGGGTGGGGCCCCGCTGGGTGGAGGGTCCCAGACTGTATTGTGCCTTGGGTCCGGACCTTGTCTGACCCTGTGTCTTTTCTCCCAGGATGCCATGCGCTTGTACTATGTATGCACTGCCCCACACTGCGGCCACCGCTGGACCGAGTGACCTGTCCCCCTGCTCCACCTGTAATAAATGCCAAGTACTGTGTGCATGTTTCTTGTGTTTATTTGCCTCACGGGTAGGATGCTGTTGGAGTGTCTCAGGTAGCACGATGCAGGGTGCGGTGCTGTGCGTAGGCGTCCGGGCGCGAGCTGGTGAAGCCACAGTCCTCACACACGTGCAGCTTCTCGCGGCGCTCGCGGTAAGCATAGCTGGCCGGCTGCCCGTGCACTTTTGCAAGATGTGCTTCAAGGGAGCAGCGCTGTGTAAAAGCTTTCCCACAAGCTCCACAGCGGAATGGCCGGATTCCTGCAAGGTAAGGTACAGAGAAGGGGAGGACGAAGAGAGCAATGGCTTCTAGACTAAGGACTCCTCACCTTGCTTTCCAGCAGTGAGCATTTCCTGTTCCTGTTCCAAGCTCAGCAGGCTCTTCCCTTTATGATCCATCACCTGCTACCCCTACAGGGTGCAAACATGGGCCAGACCTCCCTCTCCACTATCCCTTATCAGGAATTTCTTCCTCTTGGTTTGTTTGTTTTTTGTCTTTTTGAGACAGGGTCTTGCTATGCAGTTCAGGCTAGCTTTGAGCTCACTTTGTGGTTT